ATTCTGATGGCTGCGAGCTCAAAGCTTGATTTTTTCCAAAAAAGACGCTGCTGTTGCCAACAGCTGTGATAAGCCACAGTGTCCGGTCAAACCGATAGTATTTTCCAAGATCTCCTGCGCGGACTAAACACTACTGACGCTTCCGCTCAACCATTATCTGTCGCATGTGTACAGCGCTGACGTCCACGAGAGGTCTGGTCTGTCACTGGCTGACTTACCCGGGCTGGCTCTGACGCTCTCTCTGAACTCACGCTCTAAACAGTTCCAATTATAGCGGACTAAGTTACATCACCGCCGGTAAGTACACCGATTATCAGTAGGGCCAAAGTCGCTACCATTGCTGGTCACAGGCCAGTCTTCGGACTTCCCGATCTGTTTACACGAATTGATCATTCACAAGGTTGGCGGGCTAAACTGAAGCAAATTCGCGTCGTTTGTCACATTGGCATTCGCTGTCTTCGCTTTCGACCTTCAGATTTGCTCGACCAGCTATCAGAAAACACACAGCAACAGCCACCATAATCATTCAGAAACACACTGATGCCGGTTGAGGCTGAGTGTAGGCGCCCACGTCGCCCGAGAAGGCCGGTGTAGAATGTCGCAGCATGCAGGCCCGCCCCACCTGTGTGCGTGCCGTGAACGCGGCTGGGTGGCGCCAGATGGATGACTGTGCAGATGCAACTTTTCTTTTTTATCCAATGACGCGTAGCTTTTGAAGGAAGAACGTCTTCATAGTGCAAGAGCTGCGAAACATGTGACTATGCAATGCAGCACACCTCTAACTGCGTATTGTCTGAATGCATAGCGCGCGCGCAGTTGTCAACTTGAAAGCCGAGATGGTTAACTATAACAAGTTTCCTAATCGGTAAAGATTTTCAACACAATGGTAAATAGCGGTGAAGTTATCATGATGAACTACCCCTAACGAAATGGGCAATGACTGCTGGACGTTTCCCCAATCAGCTTTGTGAGCGTGCACTGGTTGCAACATACGGCGTCGTTCCTTCTATTCAACGTCCAACACGGAGCGTGCAAACCTGCCGCACATGTATTCCACTACGGCCGCTATGAACAGGTCTGGGACGGCCCGCTCCCGCGCTGCGGAAGGCGTGCGCAGCGACCTCGCCCCCGAGCACGGGTCACCGCAAGGTCACGAAACACCGCGGGTGCGGCGACCCCGCCGCAGAGCACGGGTCACCGCAGGGTCACGAAACGCCGCGGCAGCGCAGCGACCCCGCCCCCGATCCCGGGTCATCTCAGGGACACGAGACACCGCAGGATGCGGCGACCCTGCCTCCGAGCACGGGTCAACGCAGGGTCACGAGACGCCGCGGCGGCGCGGCGGCGCGCCCCGTCCGCCGGCGGCCCGCTTCCAGTCACGTGTCGGCGCGCGCGGGCCGCTACTCTATCACACACACGGCGCCCGCTGCCTCCAAAATCTCCTTCAGCTTCTCGGCGTCAGCCTTGGAGACGTCGGCCTTCACCACCGCCGGTGCCGACTCGACGAATTTCTTGGCCTGAAACACACACAGCCGAGTGGCGGATATGCTCGCGAAAAGAACACACAGAATATTTACAGCAGAACACTTATCTATGCCTTGTGTGCCATTATAGCGTTACATCCGTTTATCACATGGCTTGCGCCGCCCATCTAAAGACATCTGGCCATTTTTGCGCTTATCCCGGCGAGTGGATCGGTCAGGGCTCATTGAGATGCCTCGCGCCAGGCGCAGGGGCTATCGTATAAGGACGGGGGGGGGGGGGGGGGGAGGAGCCGGTACTGTGAGAGACGGTCAGCTGCCGTTTCAGGCTGGTCCTCCACTGGGAGAGCTGACGGGGGCTGCAGTTCGGCACGTCAGCGGACTGACCAAGGCGCAACGAACGTTACCCGACGACTGCCAGCCGACCAGCCGCACACTCACGAAGTATGGAGCCGGGGGATATTTGACATATGCAAGCATTCCTGCACCCACCGAAGCATGAACAGTTCCAATGTTAGATCACAGACTGGGCTCAATAAAAAATTGGCACTGAAAACGTAGTCGTCCGTGACATGCATTGTTGCATGCGATATCTTTCTATCTGATGTGTATTTAGCTTTTTTCTGTACGCCTCTGCCAGTTTTGGTACCCAGCATGGACCCTAAGGGGAGCGAGCGGAACGATGGTACCAACATGTATGACAATATTGTACGGCACATCGTCACGGTCGCGTTGATGAGCGCAAATAAACATATAATTCCGTGGGATTGACAGGTTGTTCCACGGAGTCACATCTTTGGTTCCCGCCCTGGGAAAAACCGAGTCGCAAAAACTTGTGGGCTATTGCAGTCCCTTAAAACATCGACAAAAATCATTCAACAATCAGTCAAGAACACGATCTCAACACAGTTTCACTTCAGATTCAGTCTGGCTAAGGCGCAAAGGACGTTCAGTCCACACACTTTAACGCGGAGCATATCACCGACCATCAGCCAACTCAGCACCCATGGTGTCAACCAGCGCCCGCCCTTCAGAAATGGCCACCGCACCACCCAGCCCGCCGCCTCGTGCTGACCTCGGGGGTGACCTCAGGGGGCGGGAGTGCGCGACCTCACCTGCACCAGGTTCATGCCCTCGGACGCAGGCCTCTTCAACTCCTTGATCAGCGGCACCTTCTTGGCCGCATCGAAGGAGTGAGCTTGACCGTGAAGCTGGTCTGCACCTTTCTGCGCCACCTGCTCCTCGGCCTCCTCCTCCTGTTCGCACGCGAGATCAGGTGACGTCCACACCCCGGTTGCGGACATAACTACCCTTGGTCACTGCCTCATTATGCCTGATATCGGTCCGGATGGCAGCCCATGGCCATAACCCCAAGTCACGACCCCAGCACATGATCTCGGGCACATCTGCCAGTCATGACGCCCATCTTTGCTGCCATGCCACCCACTCCCATCGGCCCGTCCCGGATCCCAGGTCACCCGCCTCCCAGTGGGGAGCTCACAGCATCGCGGTCACGTCGCGTCCGGCGACCGTCACGTCCACAGGCCGGCTCACTAGGTGGGCCGGTCACGGCAACAGGCGCGGCCGCCACGTGCACAGGCGGGCACCGCCAGGCACGTCCCCGTGCCAGCCAAACACGCCAGCACCCCGATCACGGGCCGCGCGCCTGGCACCAACAGCGGTCGGCGCAGAAAAGTACGATCCTGCTGAGTCCGTCTGAATCATAGCGGAGCCGCCAACTGAGCGGGAACACGCGCCGTGCAGCCACGCCCTGGCCGGCGACGTGCGCTGTCGTCTGGCGCCAGAGAACGGCCGGAGCGCCGCCGGAGCGCCGCCGGAACGCCGCCGGAACGCCGTCGGAGCGCCGTCGGAGCGGAGCGCGACTGACCTCTGCAGCGGCGGGGGCGGCCGCTGGCCCTGCCATCATGACAGGCGTGTCTGCGATGTTGAGCCGCTTCTTGAGACACTCGTTCAGCTCGGCCACCTCCAGCAGCGTCATCCGCGAGATTTCCGCCACCAGCTGCTCCACCCGCTCCGGGTACACCTGGCGCGCACGCCGAGCGAGTCAGCACACACTGGCTGCGCTTGACCCTTGGCACTAACTCAACACTCACCCCAGGTATAACTAGGACAGCAATAGAGGTGATATGCTTCAGTGGCATCATGCAGGCAAACAAGCTTGAAAATGGCCCAAAATACATCTTTCCCAGAATTTTTGTTTTGCAACATATCAGCACACCCACAAATCATGTCACACTAGCACCTAGTGACTGCATGAATGTTTTTTTCAAGCAGCTTCAGTCAATAAGCAGGCTTAATTTCACGCTACGCAGCCGCAATAAGTAAATTGTTTATAACTGTGAAAGGACACTTTATCTCATGTGACCGAGCGGCACCAACACTAAATGTATTAGTACATAAAATGTGCAAAATGCACCAGGCTGCTCCAAGAGCTAAAAGCTATTGGTTGATGATCTTGAACACCATCAGATGCAATACGAATGAATAATATTGGAACATGTGGTTTCAAATATGCATTTTTACTGCTACAGAACATTCAGTGCATTGCCTTCATCATTTGTAAATGAAGGAAGTATTCACTGACCTTTTCCTCAGTGTCAGATGGTGGTGTGGTGAGTGTAGCTGCTTCTGTGCTCATATATCTGGTACCAGGGAGTAGCCTCTTGTGCACAGCATACCTGTAACAAAACAATAGCACATATTTCAGCAATGATGGTAAAAAGTGAGCCAACAATAGATTGATAGGCACAGGTGCATGGTCTTGGATGTGATGGATACCTAGAACAGATAACATTGCTTCTAAATGTTCAGGATCCTACCTGCCTCTGCTTCCCATTCTCCAAATCAGCAATGATGTGACATTATATGAATAACCCTTCCATCCTCAGACAAAACTTTGCAAAGTACAGATAGTGGTGGTGATGCCTACCAGCATGAGTTATATGAATGATGATATGAACATAAATGTTGCATAGCAAATGTTCATGATGGAAGCCTTAACAGCATAGCAAAAAATAATGAGCTTGATCGAAACACACATAAAACATGCCAACGTTAGTGACTGTTGACTCGAATAATAAATGTTTCACAAATAGTCCCTTGTGGCTTTATTGGCAATGCTAAGAACTCTTAACACATCATCCTACTCCGCGCATTGAAGCAAGCATCCATGCCAGCTTCACATTGACCAGCAATCGAATGGCGTCCCAAAAAGGCACACCTTTTGCTACAGCACGACATGTGGTTTTCTCACCTGTTTATATTACAAACACATTTGTGCAGAGATCGAAGCCGGGCCACGTTCATCATGACGAGTCAACGAAGCTTAACACGGGCTCGACGAAATTTGGCAGCAAACGCGTGCCCAAAACAGGAAAAGTATGAACTCCGAGTAGCCAATGCGGAGAATTGTCGCGCAATGCCAATGCCCTTCGCCAGTGCTGGGTCGCCGTGTATCCCAGGATAGTCGGAACACCAACGCCGACACAGATTCGTTTTCTCCACAACGAAAAATCCGACACAGGACACATTGGGCGATTGTCGCTGATGCTTTGCTTTTGTCTTTACCGAGTCTGCAACCAAATTCAGAGTTTCCTTTCGGCAGTGGAATATTTGTCCAGAAGAGCGTTTGAACGCCTTCGCACGCGGAAAGCTTCGCTGTTGAGTTCAACTTCTTCGATGCCACCAAAAAGGTACCACTGATAAAGACCTGAAGCCCTGCGTCGAGGGGATGAGCCTGATGCAGGTGAGGTTGCGCCCTCCGCCCCTGAGGTTACCTCTGAGAGGGAGGGACTAAACGGCGCACAAAACTGCTGACAGCCACATGCTCCGAACATATGACGCTATGTGTGGCACTATGACACTATGACACTATGTGACACTATGAGTAGTGTCATTGTACATTACTGAGCCGGTCTTAGGTTGACATTGAAAAGTCAGTAAAGTGTCAACTTTTGGTGTAGAAGGCTGGTTTTGAAGAAAAAAACTGGCTTGATAAGCAACGACAAGGTTTGTGCTACAAAGGAAGCCCCATAAGGGAGGGTCAGGTTCCGCTCCGCTTCTTCCCGGCAACTAAATATACGGATCGCTGGCTGAGTCGGCACCAGCACACCCTAAAACAGGAAGCTGCTGATTAGTTACTAACAGTCTAGCCGCTCAACCGGGAAAGAAAACGCCTGATTTTGATATTCAGCTCAAACCAGAGGTCCAAAAGCTCACATCAATTCGGTGAGTGACTACTGACGGGTTACGGGCGAAGAAAGGCTACAGCGTTTAAGACCAAGTTTGTGAAATCCCACAAAGTCGTACGCTTTCATCGCGCTTTTCTTTTTCCTGACGTATTAAAAATCACAAGCAGTTGTATCGCCGCGCTCGGCTCAGGAGCGTCAGATCCGCCTGCCGGACGGCTTCGCTATGGCCATCGAGCCGAAACTTCTTTTCATTATACTCGATTCGGAAGTGAAGGGCAATCTGTGCGTGCAGACGCAGCCGGAGTTCCATCACCGGTCGCCAGCCGGCTCAGCAGACGTCAGGCGCGCCAAGCGATGGATCGCGTGCTGTCGTCTTTGCACTTCGAACGGCACTCTCTAGGTTTAGCCTGGACGGCCAGAGCTATCTTCAGCGGATTGTGACCTCAACTCAGCGGGGTGAGGAGGTGACGACCAGGCTGTGCGGTGAGATTGACGGACTGGATTATCCCTGAAGATTTTTGAGCGAGTCTTTGGTAAGAAACGCTTTTCTTCACCCTGGTTTCGGCTAAGCCTAATCTTGCCCCTTCTCCTTAAGTCTCTTCTCCCTCGCCTCACCAGTCACCTGCCCCGCATGTCTGAGATCGTTCCGAGCATTCTCCATCCTGGCCATCCTGTCATTACGTCACTCAGTGGTTCTCTGATTCCATGTCCACAGCCGTTATTGACGGCCTTGTCCCACATCACCAGCCTGTGATGACCGTGCTCCCGTATCCCCTGACGTCCGGCGACCCAGGCCACTCTGACGGCGTGCTGGACGAGTCCGTGGCGCTGGTGCTCTCGTCGTCACGCGGCCTGGCCGGGCCGGCACCGGACCAGCTCGCCCCTCCACCTGCATATAATATACTCCATGTAACAATACAGGGGGTATATAGTATCCCCCGGTAATCATACACCCCCTGACTGGTGTACTGTCGTCACGCGTACCGCCCTGCTGGAGGCAGAGTGGCGCGGCCGCACAGTCGGCCCGGACGACCGTAGCGCCCTCTGCCCCAGCTGTCCCGTGTCGCCGTTCAACTTCGCCGGTCGCGCGGCCGACTTCGCCGGCGCCCTGCCCGACCTCATGAACGCGCAAGGCATACCGTCCTGAACACCGACGCATCACCGATCGGGACGGCGGGTGGGCCGGCAGCGGACTGTTTCTATGACAGCAGCTATGGGTCTCCTTTTCAAAGCCCGATGTTCTTCTCAAAGCCTGTTTCAGGTCCAGAGCCGGCAAGTTATGGAGGCGCCGTCTCCATCTGCTTTCCGTTTCGGCAGCCGGATTCTTAACCCGATTGACGCGTCTAGTTCAAGACACTGGAACCCATTGTAACGATGACCTTTTGAAGGTCATTCGGGTTCAGAAAAGAAGAATGGCATTGCTGGCGTCATGAAAGCAGGCTATTGCCGCGCCCACGAGGCCTGGAAGACGGACTTCCGGACAGTAGGTTTGCGGCACCTGTGAGGACAGCATGTAAAGCCCGTGGCTCGTGAAGAGTCAGTGGCGATAACACAAGTGTCGATCGCTGGCAGAATGCGGCAGCAAGCTCGCCAGCTCCATGATTTCGGCTGCAACGCGTCATGACCAGGGACTGCATCCAAACGGTCTGTTGAGTCAGCCGCCAACTCCGCTTCCAGGTGTCTGGGGCCGAGGCCGCCGAGGATGGTGGCGTCTGCATGGCGCGGAGCTGTTTGAGCCCGAGCATGCTTCGGCGCAGCGAACAGAGGAGAGCACTTCTTCGAAGGCTAAAACAATCTCTCGAATGTCTGGTATTTTTATGCTGGTGGTAATGCGTTGATGCCGGCATTATTCTATGTTTGTGAGCATGATAACCACGTTGAATCAGCCTGAGGGCACTAATGCCCGCCTTGCAAGTGCCCATATGTTCTCTCGTGCACGACAGCGGTAGGATGTATCTATTCCAGCCGGTTGCAAGTCATGCAGGCAACCGACGAAGGCAACCCTATTCCGCCCCATCAGCAAGAAAAAACGCTATGACGTCCAATACATTTTCCAATGAGTACGTTCGTGGTAATGAGGCTACTCGCTTTACGGTGTAATGTAATTATTTTCTTGGTACTTCGTATTCTATGAAGTTCATGAATGATAGAAGAAAATAATCCTGCGAACTGATCGTGGTTGCCGTCATGTAACTTACACATGCGGCGAAGCAAGCCACGTTTCTTCCCATCGTGCGCCTAAAGCCTTACAAGCGGGCGCATAACTGTGAAGCAGGCCACAGACCGAGCCAACCGAGCGCATCAGGGACATCATACTGGTGTATTATCGCCATGCACCGCTCACAATACATCCACATTCAAACGGCATCACAGCTTCACACGGCAGGGCAGCCGGACAGCCCTGACGGCCAGACGCCACAGCGCCCTCCCTCACGGACGTGCGCCGGTCGGCCGCGGCACACGCACGCCACGCTGCCGTGTCACGCACACGCGCCGCCTCGGTGCGCAGTCCGCGCCCCCGCCGAGCGAAAATCTGCGGGGGGGGGGGGCAGGCATCGATGCTCACGGCACCCACCGGCCGTCCATACGCGGCAGCCGAGGGCGCCACTGCTGGCGTAGCCACCGCTGACGCGCAGCTGGCGCTGAGGCGGCTCGCTCACACGCCACCGCCGCTGAGGCGGCCCGCTCACACGCCGCCGCCGCTGAGGCGGCCCGCTCACACGCCGCCGTCGCTGAGGCGGCCCGCTCACACGCCGCCGTCGCTGAGGCGGCCCGCTCACACGCCGCCGTCGCTGAGGCGGCCCGCTCACACGCCACCGTGCTATTGAGCGGCAGATGCTGAAGTCCCGCCGCTCCGCCGCGCTGCCGCCGCCACTGCTGCTGCTGCTGCTGCTGAAAGCTCGGCTGTGCAGGCGTACGACCGCGCGCGGCTCAGCTGTGCGGCTGCTGCTGCGGCTGCTGCGGCTGCTGCTGCTGCGGCCGGCCGATCCGGTGCAGGCCGAGCAGCCGGATCAGGGCGTCGCAGGTGGGGTCGCGGCCGCGGAACCGCCGGAACACCTCCGACGGGTGCACGGCGCCGCCCGACGCCAGGTACGTGTCCCGGAACCTGCCGGCCGGCCGGGTGCCGCACCGTTAGCGCGGACACGGGCGCGGTGCCGACGGAACAGAGCCCCACGGACGGCACGGACCCGTTACAGACGGCACGCAAACGCCGGAAGTGGAACAGACACATGGCTGAAGGCGCGTGCCGCAGGACAGCACGGACAGTTCGCCGATGGTGACAATGTCACATCGGTGACGTGGCATGAACTCTTGGTCAGTCAGGAACGAGAGGAATCCCGAACCGAACCTCTCAGTGGTTAGTGATTATTTCGTACAAGCGAGGATACAGCGAGCTGGAGAATCACAGAAGCTAGAAACTGAACATATCCAACGCCACGACACGACATTTACGGCACGGACGGAGGTCGGACCACCACTGACGGCGCGCAAACGCAACAGGCGGCCGCGTATACGGTCGGCGAGCAGCCACGCCACGCCGCCGCCGGGGCGGCGTCCGCGCTGCCACCGACCTCTTGCCGACGGAGCGCAGCTGGTCGGGCTCGCCGCCGGTCTCGTGGAAGGCGGCCGCGGCATCAGCGGCGATCATGCGCGCCCAGAGGCTGGCGTACACGCCGGCGCCCCACTCCTGGGCCAGCGACTGCCGGGCGCAGAGGCACCACCGCCGTCAGCCGGCGTCCGGCCGGAGGCTGAGTCACGGCGCCGGACGGCGCGACGAGGGAACACTTGGGAGCCGCGATGTTGGTGTCGCGCTTAATTTCATTACGGGCGCGCATGTGTCTGGGAAACCAGAGGTAGAGGGTTCCATTCCCCGCGGTGCCCGCCCTTCCCGCCAAGGTGAGAGGCAGGCTACGCCATAGCCTCAGTAGCTGAGTGCGTAGTACAGCCCCAATGACGACGACGACAGGCGTGCATGCGTGCCTGTCCGACGTTCGCAGTGCGCCACACATCACTGCAAATCAGCCGGAGGATGGGTAGCCCACGACGCGTGCCTAGCACGAAATATCGATGCCTATCATAAGCCAACGTATTCACTCGAGCCGTGTCCAGTGACCATGAGTCAACCCGTCTAGAAGCGCGCTCACTTGAGAGAGCACTGTCATCGTTGCACGGCGTCGGGTGAACACTCACCTGTGTGAAGCTCATCGTGTGGGCATCTTTGGGGTGCAGCTTGAAAGGCAGGAATTGGCTGTACAGCTCTTGTTGCAAATGCAGCCAGAAGCCCTCCTTCCTGATCAAAACATAAGTCACCAAATCAAAACGGTGAAACAGATCAAAACAGATCAAAACAGTGTCATCCAACGTTCACAACGGCGCATCCTGCACACACGCCACGTTGGCCTCGGCTGTACCACGTGCATTTTCCTGCACATCTGGATGAGATGAGATAATGAAAACAACCAATTCGAACCAGAAACCATGTCATGGTACCTGAATAGAAGCCCAGTTTCGGTGCCGCAGTCCTAATGGAGGTACAGTTCCTGACAGAGGTTCCGTGATCTACCCGAAGTGCAGTTTCAGTTGAGCAACGCCTGGTACAGCCCCTGAAAGGGGTGTCGTGACCTACCCGGGGTGCAGCTTGAGGTCGAGCTGCGCCTGGTACAGCCCCCGACAGAGGTTCCGCGACCTATCCGAGGCACAGCTTGAGGTCGAGCTGCTCCTGGTACAGCCCCCGACAGAGGTCCCGCGACCTACCCGAGGTGCAGCTTGAGGTCGAGCTGCTCCTGGTACAGCCCCTGACAGAGGTCCCATGACCTACCGCAGATGCAGCTTGAGGTCGAGCTACGCCTGGTACAGCCCCCGACAGAGGTCCCATGACCTACCCGAGGTGCAGCTTGAGGTCGAGCTGCGCCTGGTACAGCCCCCGGCAGAGGTCCCGTGACCTACCCGAGGTTGCAGCTTGAGGTCGAGCTGCGCCTGGTACAGCTCGCGGCAGAGGTCGTGCCCGATCATGTGGCCGTCGGCGGCGATCAGCTCGCGGCACGTCTGCTCCGGCAGCCGGCCGCCGTCGCCGTGATGGCGCGAGACCCGCTGCACGTTGGCCGGGTCCCGCAGCCTGGCGCACACCGCCCGTCAGAGGGACGAACGGCCCCGGCCGCACACAACCCGTCTCCTCGCGCCAATAACAGTATGGCGGCCGATCTACGCCGCTTCAGTGCCGCGCGTCATCCGGGTTTGCTTGACAGCGTGACGTCAAAGACAAATGGAAATACAAGCATGTGCAGTTGGACATACACTCTGTGGACGATGCAATACGATGCAAATTGGTGAAAGAGAAAGGCTTCAAGAGATGTTGGTTCAGACCACCGTAAGAGCATGTGTGCGCCCTTCCCTAGCCCATGCCCCAGCAGTAACCCCTCATCGACGCATCCGACGACGCGCAGGCGGCTGCAGTCAGGCAGCGCCGAGCGCCGGCTCACCAGTATCGGAAAACGTAGGGCACCACGTCGACGGCGTCCCACTCCATGTTGTTGGGGGCGCTGACGTCGGCGTGCTCCACAGTGCAGAGCAGCGTCATCATGCTGCGGCCGAACTGCCGGCAGCCAGGGAGGCGCCGCCGTCACAGGACGGTACAGCGGCGGCTATGGCAGCGGCAGCGGCGGCAGCGGCAGCGGCAGCGGCAGCGGCAGCGGCAGCGGCAGCGGCATGCCACGCCGGCGCTCCTCCCGCTAACACCACTCTCAGCTCTCATGCGATGATGAGAACGAAACAAAAGAGTGCGCGAAATATTCACAGCCCGGAGAGGGGTAAAACTTAACGCCGCATGCTCAAGTAAATGGAGGAGCTTTTTGAGTTCACACGGTGTTGGCAGCAATGATGTCTGACATATCGTGTGTCGGGCTCCTGAAATGCGTCACTGGCCCATGGATAGCCATGCATTCTATAACAGAAACGGCGCAGCTGAGGCGTTCAAAATGCCAAAAGCCTATGGCTGTCATTACATCACTAGACTACCAGTCGCTGGGCTGAGGCCCAGTGTCACCGGACCGGGGCTCCCCGGCCACAGCTGACCATTTCAGACCTGTGGGCCCCGGGAGTGGGGTGGGAGGCGGGACGTTGCTGCAATCAGCGTGGGATGTCCTCGCTGCCGACTCTCAAGCCTCACCGGCACCCGAGCTCGCGGTGTGTGCACGCGCCGGGACCGGACTCCCGCCACGGCCGCCGCAAGGCAGGCTTATGCCCGGTGGCCGCAGTAGATTCCCGGAGAGGCGTGGCGTCGAGGGAATGCGGGATGAAGCGGTGGATGGGGACAACGGGGAGGATGACGGCTAAGGCCGACCAAATGACGGGGCGGGCAATCCCGCAACAAACGATGTAATCGCGTTCACACCATTAGTGCACTGCTTCCTGCCCACGAGTTGAGAATCAGACCCTTCGTCCGAAACAGCGCAAGGCAGGTGTGCAGAGTGTTGAATAAGCCCTTCACCTGAGTCCAAGCGAGACTCACCTTCTCAAAGAGCGTTTGGACTTCGTCAAATGTGAGCCCGCCAGGCGTCGCGTCCTCCGGCGGCGTGAAGTTGAAGTTCAAGTACGAGATGGGTTGTGTGTTGCAGATGGCGCTGCGGTGCCGACCGGTGAACGTCCATCCGGAGCCGGCCGGGAACGACTTGCCCTGCCTGTCCGTGAGGAGATACCAGTAAAACAAATGTGTACTGGGTGAAATTTACTAGAGCCAGCACTGAAAGAGAGGAACGGTGAAATACGATGTGCCCAAATAGTGAATAAGTAGGCTTAGAATAATGAAACCAGGTCTCATAGATTGTCACACAAAACTGTGGGGTGTCGGTGGTATGTATACATATACACACACGCACGCACGCACGCACGCACGCACGCACGCACGTACGCACGCACACACACACACATATTCATATATATATATATATATATATATATATATATATATATATATATATATATATATACATTAGAGCTCCTGACCTCTGGTAAGGGTCGATCATGAGCTGCGCCACCTGTCGGCCCTGCTCCCAGACCGAGTAGTGAAGTACGTCCGGGTGCCACGTCTCCACGTCTGCGGCAGAACACGGCACGTCACATGGGGCACAAATTAAGTCTCACTTCCAGAGATGAACAGATTCCACGTTATATTGTGATACTATACACGACGCACCATTCGGAGAGAAACGTTTGAATGTTCATGGATGGAGATGGAAACCGACAATCTCGCTACCAGCCGAAATGTCGGCAAAAGAAAAACGCAAGTACGAAACCAGCCAAACCAGAGCGTAGCGCATTTCGATGCGGTGACACTGGGCTCAACTTTCGACTGACAACACGGTCACTGACTCCGTCCGGCCCGCGTCACAGGTCACGTGACCTACTGCCGGCGTTCTGCAGCGGGATTTCACGACGAGGGACTTCTCACGTCACTGATGACGTCACCTACCGCTGGATGTCTCCAGACGAAACTCGACACCAAACAGGTCTGCAGACAGCTCCATCAAGAACTGCAGCACGTTCGGGAAGCTGAAGTAGTCGCGCGTGACGGACTCGTCCACACTGCGGACGTCAGACACTGTGACGGGGACGTGACGGGGCACGGCAGAGGCGGGGGGGGGGGGGGGGGCAAGCCGGACAAAGAACGGTACGCGGTGAAGGTACGAGGATGACGCGACACTTGCGCTTGCCTGACGGAAATGTGTGGGCGATGTGACGACACTAGCGCTTTCGACTGACTTCGAGCGTTTACGACGGCATGACGGCTATGAACAGTCTTCAAATTGACCACTTTTAAAGGAGAGGAAAAAGCACAACAAGCCATCGCGAAAGACCCGCGGAACGTCGCAGCGCGCGCCCGTCGGGCCGCCGTCTGACCTGCACGTGCTGAGCTTATGCCGACGCCGCCAGTACGGCACGTCGCATGCCTCCAGCTGCTGCGGCTCGCCGCTGGAGCTGGCGAACTCGTTCAGCTCGCGCATCTCCTGCTCCTGCAGCGGCCGGGCTGCGGCGGTCGGCCGGCGTCAGCGGAGCGGCGCCGGAGGCCCGCCCACAGAGCTACATCACGCGAGACCACGGCTCATCTGACCCACTGGCAGCGTAACGCCAGGCTGACGGCAGCGGCCCTACGCAGCGGTGACTGCTGAGTCAGCGTCGGGTGGCGAGCACGCGAAGATAGGTTACTCGAGGCACCCACATATATTTTGAGACAACTTGAGCAGAGTTAAACAACGGCGCCTGTCACCGCCCCGCGATTACCGCCGTGGAGCGGCTATAGCCAGCTGGCAGCAGGCATAGGTGTAATGACCAAGGTGCAATGACCATTACGCACGATGCCGCGCTTAGCAGCTTCGGAAAACTGCGGACACTCGACGGAGTGGCGTGGATGCGTTCCTGTCTACACGTTCGACATAACATTCCGACCGATTTCCTCCAGATTTCGTTAAGAACGTGACGTACAAGAACCAAAGCCCTACTCACCGGCCGCCAGCAGACTGGCGATCATGCTCTGGACAACGCTGACCTTGCCGGCCATCTTCACCTCCATGCTCTTGTGCATGTGAGACTTGTAGCCCAGCAGCTTGGCGATGTCGTCCCTGGCAGAATGTCAATCAGCGGCGGGTCAGAGAGAGACGGCGGCGACATCGGCAAGCGACGAGGCCTAGACCAGGTGACAGCGACGAGCGACGGCGGCGACATCGGCACAGCGGCGAGGCCTAGACCGAGTGACAGCGGCGAGCGACGGCGGCGACATAAGTGCAGCGGCGAGGCCTAGACTAAGTGACAGCGACGAGCGACGGCGGCGACATAAGTGCAGCGACGAGGCCTAGACCAAGTGACAGCGGCGAGCGACGGCGGCGACATAAGTGCAGCGACGAGGCCTAGACCAAGTGACAGCGACGAGCGACGGCAGCGACATAAGCACAGCGACGGGCGACGGCGGCGACATAGGCACAGTGACGGGCGACGGCGGTGACGTCTCGTTTGATCCGGGTGGTCTGCCACCCCCAGCTGAAACGGGCGGTTTGCCGGCCCTCTCAGCTGACCGGGTGGCCCGCCGCTCTCCCCCCCCCCCTCCCCCCCCCCCCAGCTAAAACGGGTGATCTGCAGGCTTCCCAGCTGACCCGCATGGTCTGCCGGCCTTCAAGCTGACCCGGGTGGTCCCCAACATCTCGCTTGGGCCAGCATAACCCTCGTGACCCCTGCCGCCGCTTACTTGGCCCAGCGGATCTCCTCGGAGCAGGTGCTGTTGCTGAGGTCGCGGTTGAAGTTGGAGCAGCGCATCTCGTGTGCCAGCCACACGTTGAGCCTCTGGGCGGCGCTGGGACAGTGGCGCAGGAAGGCGGCGTACACGTCCGGCTCGAACGTCACCTGCCACGGGCCGCGGCTCGGGTCCGACCTGGCCGGCGGGGGTCAGGTCAGGTCAGGTCAGGTCAGGTCACGGCACCGGCCAGACAGCGCGGACCGCCGACTCACGCCGCCGAGGCGGGCGAGTCCTGGTCACCCGCCGGCGCTACACAGCGGGACACGGGCTGGCAGGAGCGCTGAATCGGCCCCGGTCGGCCAGGTCACGGCCATCCAGAGGCGCCGGTGAGGGAGCGGTTAGCGGCGAGGAGCGGCTAGAGTCAGCTGACAACAGACGGCGACGCCCTGACAGTGACAACAGGTGCCATACAGGCTATTCAAAGTACATGAAGGTGATAGTAACTGCACTATGGCTCCTGTTACATGTAGTGTATTTGCATTTCACCAGCACGGTGTCTAGTCTGGGATACGTTGGACTGTGACAATCTTTACAACACCAGCAGTTTCTAATTAGTGACCAAAGAAAGTCCCACTGCTGAGCTACCTCCTCAGCTTCCCCAGCTTCCTATCAAAACCTGGAGCACATGCAGCCAGCACAGCTTCATCTGCCGCTGTCACAACGCTTCTAGGTGTGACCAGTCAATTTTGTGCCCGGGCCCTCTCCCCCGACCACGGCGCGCCGTCCGTCCATCCGTCAGAGAACGCTCAACTCACGGGTCCTGCGCCATCCTTCTCAGAATCGGCTTAGGCACGCCCCGCACCAGGTCGTACTCGTCCACCGGGTGTCTCAACTCACGGGTCCTGCGCCATCCTTCTCAGGATCGGCTCCGGCACGCCCCGCACCAGGTCGTGCTCGTCCGCCGGGTGTCTCAACTCACGGGTCCTGCGCCATCTTTCTCAGAATCGGCTCCGGCACGCCCCGCACCAGGTCGTACTCGTCCACCGGGTGTCGGAACAGCTCGTCCGCCGCCCGCACCCGACCTGCGGGCACGCGCGGCCGCGGCCGTGTCGGTGGGGAGGCGGCGGAGCAAGATCGGCGCTGGGTGTGGCAGCACGCTGCAAGGCGTCGCATCAACTGGCACAAGCCAAACTGCTGTTGGAGTTGTACATCCTCGAGAAGCGCGAGACGGAAGACCAGACCAGATCAGAATTCGGGAGACCAGACCAGACGATGCTGACACATGACGCATGAGCACCACGATGCATCAACAGCACGGCCAGGAGGGGCTACTCCGCTTCCGCGCGCTAGCCAACCACACCGCTGAGCAGCTCCGCATGGCGGTAACCTGCCGTCCCCGCACCCACTGGCAAGGCAGCACGATACTCGCCGTCGTCGTCGCGGGCCTGCCGCCGACCTCACCGATAAACTGCGCCTGCTCCCGCCTCAGGCGGCTGGAGTGCAGCTTGAACTTGCGCAGATCGCTGCCGCGCAGCTCCAGGCCGTTGAGGCGCCCGTCGCGCACGTACTTCTGCGCCACGCGACCCTGCTCCTCTGACAGCAGGTGCTGGTCCGACTGCAGCTCCTGCCGCCGACACGTCATGTCGGCGGGGTGAGATGGGGGGGGGGGGGGGGGCGTGACGCCGCGCCGACCCTCCCACCGAGCAGCGGCGCCGGACAAGACAGCGGCGCTGCATGTGACCACTTCCTTCAGATTGGCTGTTTGGTTGGTGTCATCTTCGAAGCATGCAACAAGCCTGTTAACACAAATTCGCACAGGCTTTTGACTACTGTCACTCGATTTCATAGCTGGGTAGCCCCTCTCTACGTGTGTTTCATTCACGCAGCGGCGGGCAATGTCTACATCCGCAGCGCCGCCGAGACTTTTTAAGCCACCACAAAAGCTGCTCTACTTTCGCTCCCACAGCAAACCAGCAAAAGACGGTTGTGGCAGAGCAAAACCAATAAGGCCAGTGACCACAGCCAGCTGGTCTGATTCGTCACCCACTTCATGTGCTAAATGCAAGTTACATGAAACAAATTTTACTCCACATATTTAAATACTTCCATTTGCATATTAAAATGATGGCATTCAGGGTTTGAAAAATACTTTTTGGGTTCCAATCCTGACTCAGAGTTTGAATTCTTCTTTCCATGATTCAAGGGTTCACTTTTATTTGGGTAACTTTAAACCCTGTGAGTCATCAGCTCCAGCACCCAGCCTCACCAGGCAGGCTCGGTAGATGGCTGGGTTGTTATACTTTGAGACGTGCGCCTTGGCTGCTGACGTGTGGATCTGCTGGAATACGCGTGGGTGAACCATGCTCTGGTTGGTGGTGTACAGGTTCTTCACGGTCGACCACACGTAGCTGAACGGCACTTCCCGGCGCTCGATCGGCCCGATGACGTCATCGAAGGTGATGGGTGCCTCGCCGCTGAGCAGCTTACTGGTGCCTACCAGACAAGCATGAGTCAGAGATCAGGGGTCAGGGATCAAGGTTCATGGGTCAGGGGTGAGGAGCAAGGGTTCATGGTTCAGGGGTCAGAGGTCAGATATCAGGGGGTGGAGGTCAGAGGGTGGAGGTGAGAGGTGAGAAGTGAGAGGTCAGGGGTCAGGGGTCAGGGATCTAACATCAAACAGTTGGCGGTAGCATCACAGCTGTGCCTTTGGTAGCTTGAAGCTCAGTCAAGACAGGAAGCCAATATGGATGGCATGAATTTTCCCTGCTGTTCTAGGTCCCTTGTACTTTTTGTTTCTTAACTTGTGGGTGAAGCTTTTGACTGGATGGATTTAAGAGTTCACAGCCTTTATCACGCTATGCTCATTGTGTGAGCCTTAACCACACCATCTTATCACAAAATTTCAGACAAATGGCAGACTCTTGTGGCCACAACACAGCATGCCCCAATAATAGCAAGATTGATCCTACCCATGGCATCATGGGACCTCAAGCGCAGCTGCTACTGGCATCTGGCACAGGCCATCCCAGTCAGAGGTCAACATTGAGCCTAAAGCAACTCAAGCCTTCCTCACCACAGGAAGATGAATCAGAGCCAGCGGTGGTCATGCCATGCCATGTCATGTCATGTCAACAGCAGCCATGGCCTCTAAACACCTGAGCCACCAGATGGATGACAATGGGGACATAGCATCCTTGTTGCATGCTTGCATAGAATGTGATGCTGCTCACACAGCATATTGAATGGCATATGTTCAACTATATGCAATGTTTTCAAAAGGCACAGCCTCAGTCTACATCATATATTCAACATACTGTGAATGTAATGAGCAATTAGTGGCTAATTAATCAAATTTAACATGTAGTGGTACAAACTTGACTGCAAATGGCATAAATAAACAGAATTTATTTTTGAAAAACATCTGCACAAGCATCTGACAGCAGCACAGTGGCCTGTTTGGCAGCTCGGATGCTACCAGCAACAAATGTCAGTCACAGAGCTGATTGGAGCTGCCAGATTGCAGCAGCCATGGATCACAGACTGTACCTTCCAAGGTATCACCATAGCATGCCATGTCATATTCAAACTGATAGGCCAGCTTGAGAACAGCATCATGGCACTTCAGGGGTGTTAAGTCCGAGTACTTTGGAGGCTCATCAGTCTTCAACAGTGAGTTTGTTTCTGGTGTGTCCTCAGGAACCTCTGGAAAACTGTAAATGCAAGACACACAAGTGTGAAACTTGCCTCCTTTGATCTGCAATCATGGAAGCAAACACATTTACTACGCACAAAAGGGTACTGACAACTGGATTTAAAGCTTTATTGCTGTATTATCATAACATAAACTCAAGCATGACCTGCTGCCTTGGAATACACTCATGTTGATTGAGCTATGAGTTTAAATGTTTGAGTGCACAGCTGAAAAATTGCACAAGGGCTTTGACAAAAAGCCAGAACCTGATATGGCTGATTACGATGTAAAAGAAGCGACAATCCAATAAATATTGGCAGAAACCGATAACGCGGAGATCAGTATCATGTATGGTTAGCAGCTGGAACATGGGAAATTTAACAGCACAGAGATTGGATTTGGCGTGATACTTACAGCACATATGTGCTTATCCTCCTTAAAGGGCTAAACCTGCTGAGGCGTAGCAGCGACATCGCCATGCCGGCGAGTACACGGGCTTAGGGCGCCACACAAGCTGATGCAAAATACACGAAGACTGGGAGCAGCCATGTTTAATTAAATCGGCTTAATAGACTGCCTTACATTCATTTGACGTCATTTGCTGGTAAAGTTAAGTTGAAGCCAGTATTCGAGCTCTGAGACTGGTCTTATTAGTATTCACCCACTGTTGATAGCCCCAAAATTATATCTTGCAGCAATCTTCTGGTGTCTAAGTTGTCAGTTTGTGTAAGCTTTCCTAAATTTGGCAATTCGGATCACTTGTTACTTGTGGGCATCCTGCGCTATGTAGTGTTTTGGCTTGCATTCAAAACGGTATACCAGCTCAGGAACCCAGGTATGTCCGCCTCTGGTTCACGTGTCACTTGGTTGATAGCGTGTTCAACGTAGCTTTGGACTGAGGACGAACCGATGGCACCAAAACTAGCACCATTATATTCTGATACAAAATAACAGGTTGGAGCGTAAAGTGGATATAATCGCAAGATAAGGCAAAAGGCAATCGCAAGGAATCCTGGTTCTAGGACCATGGGCGTAGGGACGTTTCAAAAGGGGGACGGGGCACGCTCAGGGCGTACTTCAGGAAGTACGGCGGGAAAAGGGGTAGAGATGGAGGTTGTTATCGCTCTTTATCCAAATGTAGTGGCTGCTATGCTAAATATGCATCTAGTGCTGTTTCTAACTGGTGCACAGTCTTGTCTATGCGGCTCATCTATGACATTCGGAAAATAAAGCTATCCAGCTTCCCAAGATAATCCGTTCATTTCAGCGTTGTCTTTCCTGGGGAGGCGAAGTTCCACGAACGGGTAGGCACTTTAGGTCATTGAGGAGGCGTCTGCCTCTACAGCGTAGATGCCAAAATACGGCCGGGACATAGGCTGATAAGAATTTTGGAAGTGAATCGATGGCCCATAATGCGACAGATTTTGCATGCGTCTTTATTCCGCTGGCTGCTTTTCAAGAAATAAGACTTGTCGTAGCATTTTAGGCGGAAGCAAATTCGGAAGCTTGAAACTGCCAAGAACAATGTGAAAATTATTTAATACTGGAGATTCGACTTTAAAGCCAGGCCATAGAATGGAGGCCCTTCTGTGCTACATTCCTTATCTGGGCCTTGCTCCCGTCCGCCGTCGGCGTTTGCTGCCCTGGCCCGGCTGTCTCCCGCATGACTTGCTGTGAACTGATTGTATGGCTGCTTTGTTGCGTATTTCTGAATCAGCATTACCCTAATTTATGTGTAAAACACATATTGGACACATGCAACGGAACGTTTTTCCAACTTACCTCCCCTTACACCACAACACTGCTAAAAAAAAACTCCGGGAAGCTGCCTGACATAGGCATGAATTGACTCAACGGACATTTGATTGTCCGTCATTCAACGTAGACGACTTAATCTGCTTTTGTGTGTAGGCAGGGGCGTAGCCAGAGCCTTACCAGGGGGAACACTGGGTCGACAAAGGTCCGTCCCTTCCCCCCCCCCCAAAAAAAATCCCCGGATATAGCTTACTTGTCGACAAGGGCACGGTTTTCTACTTTTAGCCGTGGCCTGCCGGGGAACGAAAATGATGATGCTTCTAAATTATTACCTTTAAACACTTGAATCGATTAGTGATACAAGTTAGGTGACGTAGTTTTGGGCATACGCACTCGCAAATATTTGTACCAAAAACCTCGACGCCTGGCGTTGCAGTTTCTGTAGGCCGCGCAGTGTCTGCTCAGCAGCCAATACTGAGCAGCGGCCAACGGATGAGCGAAAATGATGGCGCTTCTGGAAGCAGTGGCTTAAGTCGCTTCAGGACATCAAATCTTATACATAGGAGGTAGTCTGGGCGCCTATTTCACGTGTGCGTGGTGGAAATGGAAAAGCAGAGGTAGGCTATTCATTTTTATTGTTTCCGTAACTATTCATCTGTCCAAAAAAACAGCACGGAAGCTGCGGCCCAGGCTGCTGCTGTTCTCGCTCTCAAGGTTGCGGGCGGGCATGTGCAAACCTGTTGATGTAATTCGTTTCACTAATCCATGCTGAAAAATAGATGTTCTCAGGCAAACATGGGATGGCCTTGTTGTTTTTTGTGCTCATTTCGACCTACTCTATTCAACAATAATGAAACCCCACTCTACTCAACAATAATGAGACCTCTCATTCCCTTCCGGGCAAGGGGTCGCTTGAGTAGGAGACCAGGGGCATATTACCGTTTCCAGCCAAGGGCTGATGGGCCATTCCGTCCCATCGTGAAGTGTCTTCTGCGTGTCATTCTGGCGACACGGGCAGTGACCCGCACAGTTGGCACCGGATCAGCACAGGAACCCTCATCGACGCATCAACATCCCTGATCGCCGCAGGTGGTCCAATAATTGTTACATGGACTTCAGTTCCATGTTTTGCTGTGTTCTTGAGAGATATTGAGAATTCCCTGAATGTAGGTTGTAGATGAAAAGTGGCCCCAAATTTGTATACACATGGATAATCTATAATCGTCTTAAAATGTTCAGGATTCACCCAGAGTTTATTACTGATAAAAACCATGTAATGTGGTTTTGAACATGGGCAAGTCGCAAGTCGCGGCAACAACAGCCTCGGCGTCCGGCGCTGCAGTCACCATAGGCCGCGTGGCGTCGGTCCTGCGGCTGTGACACCTGGCGATGGCCAATGAGCAAACGGGAAAAGGAAATGACGCATCTTGAGGAAGATGGCTGGTGAACTAGGTAAATCAGCATGCATGTTTAATGTTGTGCGGAAGTTAGGTACACGCAACCATAATGTGAAAAGTGATGGTGGGAGGGAGGGGGGGGGGCAGTCAATACTGCTGGCCCCCCACCTTGCAAAGTTGGGGCCATGGCCCTCCTGGCTCCCCCTATACCTACACCATTGTCTAGGACTATTTCCGAATAACGTTTAACCGCATGCTTTTTGAGTGAATGCAAAATATCTCAGTGCGTTTTGCCACCAGGTCTTTCTGCCGCCGAGCTCATTCAGGACGAACTACTATGATATGTGAAATACGTATTAACGACATCCATAGGCGGATCTAGAGGCTTCTGCCCCCTCCCTTTCCCCGATCTTTGCTTCCTGAGTTTTTAGTGTTACTCTGGGGCCCAAAAATGGATTCGTGAAAAGGCACGCTGGAGGAAGAAGGCAAAACAAACTTCACTCATGAACTACATAACTTGTATCCTTTAAGCGTCACACAACTGTGCATTTTTGAAAGGCACTTAACTCCAGAAGCATTAAAATATCGGTGACATCTTCCGCAGGAGATCTTGCATCGGGTCATTCAGAGCACCAAAACCCTCATTTCTGGGAATCGCAACCTTCCATGTTTTCAAGAGGAGCACGCAATGCCGGAGAACGCCACAAGGGGTCCCCAACCTTCATCCGCAAGCTTTATTCGCAAGGGCCACCAAATTCCAGAGACCATGCTGGACCTACCACCCTAACGAAATCGTGGGTAGGGCCCTAGGGGGAATTCCAGGCAACACACCCATATGGGCATCATATGGGTTTCAAATGGTTCACATGGGCTCATTTCGGCCATTGGCTCAGCATGGGCGTGTCGGTGGGTTTGAAATGGTGTCCACATGGGTCGTCCACCATATTCAAGTGTCCTTGAAGATCTAATATAGCACAACTACTGGGAGCATTTTCCACTGCGATGAGACACGGCTAATTTTAGCTCAGCAAGTCCAGCCAGCGATTTTGATGCTGGCACAAGCGTAGTGAGGTAGAGCTGTGTAGGCCCGTGTCAGCCGTGTCCACGCTGAGTTATGAATAGAGCCGCGGCGAGCTTTGGTCTCAATCGACGTTTTAAACAACCAATCAGAATCCGATCAGGGTCAGAGCTCAGAACCCGATCAAAGTCAGACCTCAGAGCCCGATTCAGGTCAGTCCTCACAACCCGAACGAGGTTTTACCTCAGAACTCGATCAAAGTCAGACCTCAAAACCCGATCAAAGTCAGACCACAGAAACCGATCGAAGTCAAACTTTAGAACTCGATCAAAGTAAGTCCTCAAACCCCGATCAAGGTCAGACCTCAGAACCAGATCAACATCAGACCTCAGAACTCGATCAAAGTCAGACCTCAGACCCCGATCAAAGTCTAGCCAGGTGACGCTGAGGCAATTGCGCCCGAGCCCCGAGCACGCCCAAGCGAACTTGGGCAAGCCCACGCTGCCTGACGTGGTGCCGTTTAGGCTCTGCCTGGGCTCCACTCGGGCCGTGCCACAGCATCACGACATTGATGCTACAAGAGAAACTTCTACACACAGGGGTGTTTGGATGCGTACAAGTCCTCGGCACACTGAAACAGTGGAGTTACGGCCAACCATACATGCACAGCCTCTCACGGTGGTAATTTTTTAGTTTCCTTATGAACATGGCACGTAAGGCCTGTCGTCACGTGACCTGTCACTGGCAGCTGATACAGCCAGGATTAGACGTGACGTGTGCTTAACGACTATGGGACCCCCGGCAGCTCGTTGGCTGTCCTTGGAAACTCAACGTTGCATGACAGCTGAGAGGCCCATGGGACGGCGCGTGCCAATGGTGCAGTCTGCTCCAGACACTGGGAGAGGCAGTGTCTCACGCGGCTGAGCCAGCTCCGCTATCTGCTATCTGCTAATGCTATCGGCAGGCGGATAGCAGGGAAGCTCTTCTGTGCGCAGCGGTCCATACGTTGTGCATATTTCTGCAAAATACTGATTCACTAATTCCGCTTTTGATTTATCGTCATTGGGTTCCGCAAGATCAAGGCTCCATGGCTTTGGTTTGCGGTGGGTTAAGCTGGCTGCTTGACGTACCAACACCCTCTTCGGTCAGAAGCAATTCTTTGGATTTGTTTCCTGCAGCATGCCGCTTTTGCAGCTGTAATTTTTAGGCCTACTTTGGCTCTAAGTTTTTGTAGTCTGTCCATTTGATGACGACTGTGCGCCCTATTGCGTCTGTGTTTCAGTTCTTTGAGGCGCTTTGTTTTCCACTGCGGCTCACTTGTCTTGCATTTGTATTTAATTTCAGCGATGTGCTCCTCATAAG